CTGGTTTGGTCTTGTTTGGTGTTGATAAATTGGGATTTTGAATGTTCACCATGGAGCTAAGACATGTGCAACAAAATTGTGCTTTCTAGGTGTTCGATGAAATGTCCAAGTGCAAAATTTTTCCTTTTCATGGCTCATTTTGACCCACCACTTGTTTTCTACGTGTTCTAAACTACATTTCGTGTTCTATGCCACCCCCACTATACTTACAATCCATCGATGTCACCACATGGGACAAATAGGTAGGTCGTGGCTCCTCACAGCACCTACTTTGCTCATCACATTCCCTACTCCACTGACGTCCAAACTGAATGAATTTTTGATATGTGCTAGACTACCTTACATACTTTCATATGCCCAGAGGATGCCCAGGAAAATCTCAATTTTTCTCGACGGTGTCCAAGGGTAAAGTTGGCTAGTCCACCATGGCACATTTTTCACGACTTGCTTGCATTACTCTCTTTTATGGTTGACCTATCATATGTTTGCATTTCTATATGTATTTCTACGTACCAACATTGGTTTTTAACATGTTTAAAGCACATTTGGAATACTTTATGTGGCTTATAATGTTCATTCTTGCCTTTAGCCTCATTATTCCTCTTTTAACCAATTTTCTCGTTTCCCTCCCGTAGGATGCCACCAAAACGAACTTCGAAAGGGAAAGAAAAGGTTGGCTCTGCTTCTGGCACGACCCGTACCCAAACACCCGAAGAGCACATAAGGTGCTTTCTGTATCCCGGGACTCGACTCAAATTTGCCGAGATTGTCTCTCAATGGAAGCTACTTCAGGAGCGGCCAGTTAAACTTTCGGATTTCCTAGGTTATGTATTGCTAACTTTGGTACACAATTGTGGTTGGGAAAAAGTGGTGGAATGACTGCACCCGGTCTATGACGGCCTAGTCCGAGAATTCTATGTAAATTTCAACAGTGAGATAGACACGCCAGGGTCTAAACACCAACACCAAACATGGGTACGGGGCAAGTGGTTGATATTTACACCAGAAATCATTCACGACTTCTATCAGCTTACTTGGGATAATATCACCCCAATTCCTATTGATTTTCCATGGCCTGAAGTTGCAAAGGTTTTGCTAGGGTGTGCAACCGCTTGGACCCTACTGACAGAGGAATGGTATCAGATTGAACTCACACCATCCTTAGCCATCCTATGGCTTTTCATTTGCCATAACATTGAGCCAACCTCACACCGCTCCACGTTCCCAGATCCAAGAGCTGATCTTCTTTATCACTTGGCTCGGGGCCAAAAGGTCGATCTCACCTCTCTAATCTATGAACAAATACATGCCTTGGGAGTATTGGGCGATCGCGGAAATTCATTGATATTCCCGAGCCTCATTAGTGGCATTTGAAAGCGCTCGGGAATTGTTATCCTGCCAGGGAAACTTCCGATCAAACCGTGCTCGTTTATCAGATGCAGCACTTTGGAAGCTCAGGATAGAGCACGGGTGAAACACCGGGAAGCCCAGGAGAGGGCTCATATGGGTCAACAACCAGCTGAACAAGGTGATAGGGTTGCAGATATGGATATACCTCAAGCGGCAGCACTGCCACCACCACATTTTGAGGCCGACACACAGATACTGCGGTAGATGTTTGCTACCATGACAGGTTGCAATATAGACATTCAGAGCTTGCAGCAAGCATTTGGAGCGTTGGGCTCAGACATACAGCAGGTGCACTCCGACATGCAAATTACTCGCCTTTTGCTTCTGATTCCAATCGGAAGTCCCTCGCTTCCAGGCGGGTATTCGAGACGATGAATGGGCGGTTGAGCTTGTATGCAGGTAGGGTAGATGGTCTACAGCTCCGAGCGGATGAGACATGGGATCGCCTGGGCAGCCTCGAGACTGAGGTGAGGAGGCATTCGGATTTCCTTCAGGAGAATTCAGAGTTGCTTCGGGGACATACAGCTTTACTTCAGGAGCAGTCTGGAATGCTGCGGCAGCTCCTTGCACGACTGGATCCACCATCGGATGATAGCACTACGGGGCCCAATTTTCTTCCACCATTTCCTCCACCGTCTCATTGTCGATCAGGGACTTGCCTCACCCTTTCTTTTGCTTTATTTTTACATTGTCCTTCACATTTAGTTTCTAACCCTCTCCTATGCACATTGAGGGCAATGTTTGTATAAGTTTGGGGGTGGTAGAATTTGTATGACAATCTAAGGGCAATGTCTACAGTACTTTTCAGCTTTCATGGATACTACCGTATGATTTCTTGCTTTTGTGTACCTGTTGATTTCTTGCTATGAAAAAAAATTGTTTCAGTTTTCATTATTCTTAGTTTTACGCATTTCTAGTAGTAGTTTAGAATTTTGTGTGCTTGTGTGGGTTTAATGGCCTTGCCAATAATGATGAAAATATTGGAAGCAGTATAGCTATGAATTGTTAAAATTTTGCATGTTAAATTGATCGATACTTGTCTATGTGGAAACTTGACATTTGTTTGTGGACAATACTTGTGTTGGGCATGCTAAGTTAATGATGGGATATATGAATCATAGTAGAGTTGAACATGATAGGTAAACCCCGAAAACCTCTATTGCACTTATCGATAAATCATCATTTTAGAAGTTTGGAGATGATTTAGCTATTACAGGGAAACATTAAGATGAGCAGGGATTCCATGCGTGAAAATTATGTTGTGTGGATTGGATTAGACCAATGGGACAAAAACGAGATAAAAGCTTCAAGTTAGAGGTTAGTACTAGAAACTGGGTATCTAAAAGAAAAGGGGTATTGTACTAATCATTGAATAAATAAAGACATCTATTCGAGTCTGTATAACTTGAGTGATTAAGCCTGCAAAGGTTTAAAACCTGGTGTCCTATGGTCTTCTATGTATGAAATGCATTGATTAGCTCTAGACACCCAGTTGATAAAATCATATCTTTGATACGAAGCAAGTAACTTAGTCTAGTCTTAACAGTTGAAACAATCAAAGAGATAGGAGAATCTCGTTTGTTGAAGTGTGAACTTGTGACTACGAGATCTATTCAAACTAAGAGAGGGTAAGGACTTCAGTAAATCAAAAACTCTACTCTAGAACACACTCCGGGATCTTTGAGCGAAAAGAATAAGTTTGGGGGTGTGAATTTCTCGAGTGAAGAAAGGAAAAATTTGACTATTGTAGGTCGGGATTTGCAACCATCATCAGTTTGGTATGTTTCACATAAGTGTCCACACACCTACACATCAAGTTTTGCATGTGATAAGTGGAGATTCATTTGATTTTGCACTATTGAAACTGTTCATTTTGTTTATTACTGAATTCTGATCCTGAGGCATGACAGG